GCGTTTTTTGTGCATGCAGAGCCAAAGAAGAGCAGCAGGAAATTACCAGTGGGGCCCCTCGGGGGGCCCCACAGGGCCGTACCCTTTGGGTGCAGTTTTTGCTTTTCTGCGGGCAATGCCGCTGCTGCTGGTGCCGCTGGTGCTTTTCTTTTTAGTCTACAGAATGGCTCTGTGAGACCTAGGGTTTAGGGTTTAGGGTTTAGGGTTTAGGGTTTAGGGTTTAGGGTTTAAGGGGGTGGGGGGTGTCCTTTGCTCTTCTTTTTAAGCTCTTTCTTTTGTGCTATTTCTTAGTCCCTTTTTCTTTACCTGCTGAGCCACTAGAGCTCGAGGGTTTAGGGTTTAGGGTTTAGGGTTTAGGGTTTAGGGAGATTTTGATGTGCTCTCCCTGTTATATATATATACATATATATTTTTAATATAGACTTTTAAAAAAATAGAGAAAGTAAAAGAATAAATAATTATATCAATCAATTTAATTAAATAAGAGAATATATAATGATGTTGATGAATCAAATTAAATAAAAGAATAAATAATTATATTAATTAATTAAAATAAACTTCTCAAAACCCTAAAAAGGTCTTTTTGTTTTCTCTGCAGCGCCAAAGCCAGGCAGGGCGAGCAGCCGCTGACTCCCATTTTCAGGGACGAGCTGGGTAAGTAACTTTGGGGCTTTTTGCATGCATGCATGCATGCATGCATGCATGCATGCATGCATGCATGCATATGCATATGCATGCGCTTTCTGTTTATTCTTTTCAGGCCGGGCCTTCTTTATTGACTCTCGGGGGCGGCAGTTCAGGTAAAAGTGATGAAAGAAAAAAGTGGAGAAGTTTTTGCATGCGCAGGAGCTGTCTGTACACCCGGAGCTGCCTATACACCTGGGGGGCCTGCCTGCCCGTTACACACGAAGCTGCAGGCAGGCAGCAGCTGTTTTTCTCTTTCTTTTTGCTTTTAATGTTTAATTACTTGCAATTAAATGTAATTTAAATATAATTATTCAATTGGCATTTATTTAATTCTTTTTCTCTTCTTGCCACGCAGGGTGATGGAGTTTGACCTACTCTACCCAACTTCTGGGGACCCCCGCCAGTAATGGGCAAATGCATGCAGCAAGGAAAGCTTTAAGGGCCTTAAAAGCCAATTAAAAACAAATTTAAAAGTTTATTTGTGAAGTGTTTAGACCATTTTAGAGCATCTGTACTCTGCGGTGTACGTACACCCGCTGCGGTGTACGTACACCCGCTGCGGTGTACGTACACCTGCTGCGCTGTACGTACACCCGCTGCGGTGTACGTACACCCGCCGCACTGCAGCGCGGGAAAAGAATATTTCAAATGTATATAAACAGAGGGCACAAGAGGCCCATTTAGGGCGCCTTTAGGACCATTTTAGAGCCCTTTTAGGGCTTCATTAGGGCCCCTCTGGGGGCCCTTTAGGGGCCCTTTAGGGCCCCTAAAAGGGCCCCTTCAGAGGCCCTTCAGGGGCCCTTTAGGGGCCCCCGGGGGGCCCCTACAGGGGGCCCCCTGGGCACCTCTCCGATTTGTACCTGTTCCCTTTAACCTCTTGCTTCCTTGCCATCTGCCTGTTTAGGCTGCTGCTGGCAGCAGCAGCAGCAGCAGCAGCAGCAGCAGCAGCAGCAGCAGTTGAACAGGGAGTAGCCAGGGAGCACTGCACAGCTTAAGGGAGGCCGAGGAACTGCGAGGGTTTAGGGTTTAGGGTTTAGGGTTTAGGGTTTGGGCAGCAATGCCTCCTGCTGCACCTGCTTGGGGCCCATCCCCGCTGCAGCAGGGAGGCAGCAAACTTTATCCCAGCAGCAAGCAGCAGCTTGCTGCAGCAGCAAGTAGCAGCTTGCTGCCGAAGCTGCAGCAGCCACAGCAGCAGCAGCAGTAGCCAGGCGGAACTCACCGCGACGACCAGCAGCAGCAGCAGCAGCAGCAGCAGCAGCAGCAGCAGCAGCAGCTTTATTCCAAGGGCTGTTTAAAATCACCGAAACCCTAAAAGAGAGAGTCTTAAACCCTACCATACAACGCCGCTGCAGCAGCACCGCCGCTCCTTGAGCAGCAGCGGCGGTGTTTTAGCTGTTGCTGCTGCTGCGGTTATTGTTGCTGCTGTTGTTGCTGCTGCTGCTGGTTCCACGGCCGTTATTAGCTGCTGCAGCGGCTGCAGCAACGCTGCTGCTGCAGAGATGGCCTCTGTGTCTGTGTGCGGGTCCTGGGGTGTATGTACACTCGATGGCTCCGAAGCCTAAAACTAGAAACTGTATGTACAAGATAGCGGCAGCAAAACAAAAAAGAGGGCCTAAATTACCTTGTATTTAATTAAAAAACAAAAAAAAAACAAATAAACGAAGAAAAGATTGAAAAGATACTCGAGGAACCTGAAGGACAAAGCGAAGTGAAACAGGAGCTGTCTAGACACCCCATTTTGACGAGTTCCATTCAGCTGATTTGATGAAGCTTCAATTAAATAATTTAATTAAATAAATTTGATGAAAATATAAACAACAATTATTATTCTTTCTTTATTTTTAGTTTGTTTCGTCTCTAATCACGGCCCAGGACCCTCGTGCAGGCTGCTGTCGAGCACTCTTGCAAAGTCGACACCTCGCGGCTGCTCTGTTCGTTTTCAACTAAATTGCATTTTAATTTCAAATAATTTGAATTAATTTCTTTTAATTCGGCTTTTAATTCTGAAATAAACAACCACAAACGCCCCCAAACATGTCTTTGCAAAAACACGAAAACTTTCGTCTGCAAAGCTGCAGCGCATGCATACGCCGAGCGCCGAGGTGTACGTACACCCCGCGAGGCCCTTTGGGCAGGGCGCCGAAGACCCAAACGTCCCTTTGAAATGCATGCACATCTGCACATTCCTTTGCAGCAGCAGCAGCAGCAGCAGCAGCAGCAGCTGCTGCTGCTGCTGCTGCTGCTGCTGCTGCTGCCTATTGTCTCTCTGAATTCACTTTTAGTTTTCTGAACTATGCAGACAGCGCAGGGGCCCTCGGGGCTCTGCTTTCTGCTGCACGCGTCTGCGGTTTCGAGTGTCTGTACACCTCAGCGTGCATGCAGCAAGTGCCCCGCTGCGCTGCAAAGTTTGTATTTTTGCAAGTTCAGTTGCTGCTGCTGCCAGCTGCTGCTGCCAGCTGCTGCTGCCAGCTGCTGCTGCGTCTTCTGGAGCTCCTCTTTGCCTCAGTCTTCGACATCTTGCTGCTTGTTGCTTTGGTTAAGGGCGCGAGTTGCTGCTGCTGCTGCTGCTCCGTTCTTGCTGCCCCTGTTGTTCTGCGGGGCCCCCCCGGGGCCCCCGGGGCCCCCCGAAGGGCCCCCCGGGGGGGCCCCCCTCCCGTAACTGCCGCGGCCGCGGCCCCTACCCCCCCTGCGCCCCCCAAAATGGCGCACACTAAATCTTGCTGCACCTTCTCCAAAAGTGTCGACATCGAGGGCCCTATTTTGCTGCCTAAGGGCAGTTCTCCTGCTTCTTTCGTCTTGGCCGTTTCCCGCGTTTTGCTGCTGCTGCTGCTGCTGCTGCTGCTGCTGCTGCTGCCGCGCTGCTGCGCTGCGCTTCTCCAAAGCCTCGCAAGAAATCGAATCGAAAAAAGAAACGTTTTTGTCGTAGGCGGCGCCGCTGGGCAGCAGCTCGCTGGCTTCTTCCAAGTTCGCTGCGCAGCAGCAAAAGGCCAAAACGAGGGAAAAAGCGCCAAAATAAACGCAAAAGCGGCGGAAATAAACGCAAAACGGAGGAAAATAAAAACAAAAACAACAGAAATGAACAATTCGCAAAAAAAGGAACAAAACAAACGCAAAAACGCAAAAAATGAACGCAAAACGCCGCAAAAGGAACCGCCTGCGCGCGCCGCGAGGTGTACGTACACCCCGCGCAGCCGGGGTGTTCGTACACCGCAGTCCGCGCAGGCGCAGCTGAGGTGTACGTACACCGCAGGGGCCCACCTGGCTTCTCAAACTTGCTGTTCATTGCATCGAAATCGAATTCTTCTGCAACTTCACTTCGCAGCTGCGCATTGGGCCTCCCCTGCAGCTCCCCCACAACCCCCCGGGGCCCCTCGCTGTACCCTCTTCCTGCAGCATCTCGGGGGCCCCGGGGCCCCTGGGGCCCCGGGGGCCCCTCCCCGCGGGCCTCTGGGCGGGGGCCCCTGCCCCGGGGCCCCTGGCGGGGGCCCCCCCTGGCGCCGCCTGCGCCGCCGCGACCGCGGGTGCTCGGCGGCGCCTGCTGCTGCTGCTGCTGCTGCTGCTGCTGCTGCTGCTGCTGCTGCTGCTGCTTGTCTTGCTGCGCAGCAGCAGCCACCGGCGCCAAACCCTCCGCTGCATGCGCCTGCGGCTGCCCGGGGGCCCCACAAACCCCCCGGGCCTGCAGCGCAGCAGCAGGGGCGCAGCAAGCCTCAGCCATTTCGTTGGGGGCCCCCCCGAGGCCCCCGTACACGGCGGGGGGCCCCCCGCTGGGGGCCCCCCCCACGTGGCTTGGGGGCGAACCCAGGCCTGGCCGCAGCAGCGAGCTGCCCCCAGGCCGCTGGGGGGCCCCCAGGGGCCCCGCCATCTCCATGCTGAGAATGGCTGGGTCGTGGGGGTAAGCCGCCACTGGCGGGGCCGGCGGCTCGGGCTCGCTGCATACTGTCAGGTCTTTAATGTGTTTGCCTGCATGCAAACCCTAAACCCTAAACCCTAAACCCTAAACCCTAAACTCCAAGCCCTGAACTCTAAACCCTGAACGCTAAACCAGGCAGGGCCTGCAGCAGTCACCCCTCGGGCCTACAAGCCGTCCGGGCCTCCAGCTCAACCCAAACCCTAAACCCTAAACCCTAAACCCTAAACCCTAAACCCTCGCTGACCGCGAAACACGATGCAGTTGAAGATTTCTGCTGAGGGAGGAATATGGAGAGCCACCGGGCGAGACTCTGTTCCGAAGGACTGCACATAGCGCAGCGAAACTGTCGAGGCGACGGGGTCAATCGAGTCCAGAATGCCTGAGTCAAAAAGGGAGAAAGCGGGGCTGGACTTGCATGCATGCATGCAGAATGCAGCGGCAAAGGCAGTTTCGAAGAGTAAAATCCAAAAAAAGACAAATTTGGAAAAAAAACGAAAAAAATTGAACCAGAAAGACGCGTTCCTCGCACACAAGGCAGCAGTGAACCGGAACGAATTTGAACCAAGTCCAAATCTGAATCGCGGCCAAAACAAGAACGAAAAAGGATAGCCTGTGCGTTTCCCGAGTTAATTTCGGCAAAAAGATGAAACAAAAAGAGAAAAAGTGACCGGCGGTCATTCAAAACGGCGCGTTCGGATTCGCGCGCGCGCGCGAGGTGTCCATACACCTCAGATTCAACAACACACGAACACGCACCGACACGAACACCCGCCGCAGCCGCGCGGAAAAAAGTGGAAAGCGGGGCGATTAGGGCCCTTCTGGGGTTGCTGGGGCCTTGAAAAGGTCCCAAATGAATTCAAAAACGAATGCAAATTAATTTGATCTGCGAAACTTCGGGAAAAAAGGCAGATCGGCTCAAGTTCAAGTTCCGAAAATCGGAACTGCGCAGGAACTGCCCGGGGCGGCGCCCGGCGCTCCACTTCGCAGGCCGTTTCCGGCGAACGCAACTGAATTACTTGTTTCCGTTTTGAGTTTCGAGATTAAGACTTTGCGAAAAAGAAGGAAAAGGAAAAGGAAGGCTTCGGGCGAGCAGCGCTGCTGCTGTCGCCGGTGCTGCTGCTGCAAGTGCTGCGGCGCCGCCCCGCGCCCACGCAGCCTTCACTGGCCTCACCTTCGTAGCGAATGTCTGAACTTGAAATTAAAGAAATTTTGCTGCCGATGTACGGCAGCTCTTCGCCCGCCGGCTGCGAACTCATGCTGGTCTGGTGGCCTCGGCAGCAGCTGGCGGTGGCAGGGCGAGGGTTTCAGCGCATTCCGCAGCGCAAAGAACACCATTAAGGCCTCCGCACTTCTCAATCGCACTTAATTTCCGCAAACACGCAAACTCTGCGGCCCGCGGCTGCTGCTGCTGCTGCTGCTGCCGCCGCTGCAGCAGCAGCAGCAGCCTGGGCGGTTCGCCGCATGCATGCTGCAGCAGCGTCCGCCTTGAGTCTGCCTGCGCCCTTCCGCCGCCGCCAAACCCTAAAAAAGGGTTTTAAACCCTACCTAGGCCTCTTATTTTCAAAACTCCTCTTCTTCTTCTTCTATTTTCCTTATTAATTCCATTTTCCCCGCCTTTCCACTTGGGCTCCCGCAGCAGCCGCTGCAGCGCCAGGTCTCAGCTGCTGCTGCAGCAGCGCTCGTCGCCTCTTTTCTGAATTTGTCTTTTTCTTCTTTTTCGTCTTTTGAATTAAATCGAAAGTTCTAATTCAAATACACTCCAGCCAGCTGGACGTACACCCCAGACGCGCGGCTCCCCGGCCTTGCCGTTCATTTCTTTCATTTCATTTTTTTCAAATAAAATTTCGCAAAAACGAAATTTGCAAATTAGAGGAACTGCAGTGCAAAAGAAAGCCCTTAGTGGCTGAAACTTGAAACCTTTTCTGCAGCAGAAAGCTCTGCTCAAAATAAAGACTTTAAGCAGTCAAAAAGAACTTTAAAAGACCAAATTTATTTATAAATCATTTCCAAAACTCTCAGAGATAGTGCTGAGGGAAATTCAGCAAAAAAAGGCCCAAACTCACTATTTAATGCCCCAAAGAAGAAGGCTTGTAGGCTCCAGCGCTGTGGCTTTGCTGCAGCAGCAGCAGCAGCAAAAGTTGCACTTGCGGGCTCTGCTGCTGCTGCAGCCATTAAGACCAGATAAGGAGCAGCAAAGAATTACTTTAAAAGCCCTTCAGGCCAAACTTCTCTTCTGCTGCCTCCCTAGATTCCAGAGAGTCTTCCGAGAAGTTCTTTTCTATTTTATTATTTTTTGTTTTCGAGCAATAGTGCACAAGACAGACTCGAAATGCCTATTTTGGCTTTCTTTTGTGTGCAGCTGCAGCAGCAGCAGCCTCCAGCTGTTGCTTTGCAGCCCCCATCTGCAGCAGCAGCAGTGGCAGCAGAAGCAGCAGCAGCGTGTAGCTGATAACAGAGCTGCTCGCGCTGCTGCTGCTGCTGCAGCAGCAGCAGCAGCAAATCCCCAGGCTGCTGCCCAAAGGGCCTCCAGCCCTTTTCTTAGCTCATTAAATTCCGAAATCCCACTGACTTGCTGCTGCTGCAGAGACCAGTGGTCAGGCCAGCAGCAGCAGGAGCTTCAGCAGCTTTCCCGCAAGTGGTCTTCGGCTTACTGCCCTCAGAAACTGCAGCAGGCAGCAAATCCTTTTTGGAGAATTAAAACCACTTTTTAGGGTTTTTACCCGCAATTGAACTCCAGAAAGCAAACCCTATTTTAAAACTCCAAAATAATTCTGAGGACTTTATATTTATATAGTGGTCCACCAGCTCCCTAGCAGCAGCAACTGCTGCTGCAGCAGAAGCTCGCAAGTGGTCCATTGGTCCATCTGGCAGCACTCGTTGTTCTGAGCTGCATTACTGGGGGAGGCAACGCGGCGACTCCCTAAACCCTAAACCCTAAACCCTAAACCCTAAATTGGGCTTTTCCTTCACAAGCTGGGGCAGCCCCGCAGCAGCAGCTCCTGAAGTTGCTGCATGCAGCAACTTGCTGCATGCAGCAACTCCTGAAGTTGCTGCATGCAGCAACTCCTGAAGCTGCTGCACTGCTGCAGGGGCCGCGGGACCACTTGGACCAATGGTCTCTAAGAGTTTTCTTTTTTTTGTTTTGCCACTACCATTGCGGAATCAGCGCCGAGGCGGCAGCAGCAGCAGCAGCAGCAGCAGGAAGGAGCTGCAGCAAAGCCGGCCCGCCGGCCCCAGGGGCCCCCTGAGCAGCGCAGCAAAAGGAGCCTTTTCCTGCCTTCAGCAGCAGCAGCAGCAGCAGCAGCAACGAGAGCCCCCCAGATTGCTGCAGCTGCAGCAGCCCAAGGGGTCCCGGGGCTCGCCGTTTGGGGCTGGAAGCTGCATGCAAGTCAGCCTCCTGCTGCACAGTCTGCTGCTATTCTCACTGCTGCTTGCGGCCAGAAACCCTGCAGTAGCAGCAGCAGCAGCAGCAGCAGCAGAGAGACTCATTAGTTGTACTGCCACAAGGAATCGTCTTTGTCTTCCTGGGCCTCCTTGGGAGCAGGCTGCTGCTGCTGCTGCTGCTTGGCTTCGCTGCTGCAGGCTGCTGCTGCTGCTTGGCTTCGCTGCTGCAGGCTGCTGCTGCTGCTCTTTAAGTTTTGCTGCAGCGCATGAGATATGGATAAATCTTTGTCTTCCTGGGCCTCCTTGGGAGCAGGCTGCTGCTGCTGCTGCTGCTTGGCTTCGCTGCTGCAGGCTGCTGCTGCTGCTTGGCTTCGCTGCTGCAGGCTGCTGCTGCTGCTCTTTAAGTTTTGCTGCAGCGCATGAGATATGGATAAAAGAGTGGGGCCCGGGGCCTCAGTGGACCTGAAAAAGTAAAGAAAATAAACAAAGGACTGATGAACTTCTGGGGGTTTGTGCTGAGCTGCAGCAGCCTCCTGCTGCAGCAGCATCATGCTGCAGCAGCGTCCTGCTGCAGGAGTCTCCTGCAGCAGCAGCAACAGCAGCAGCAGCCTTCAGAAGCTGCTGCTGACCCGGCTGGGGTGTAAGCGAAGACAGTCTGACACTTTGTTTTTTGGATTTTGCTTGTGGGGGGTCCTGCGGGCCCTAAATAGTGCAAAAAGCTGCGAAGGAACTTTATTTAGTCTTTTAAATCAAAGAAGAAATAAAGTTTTGCTAAAAGTTGATCCTTTTTGGCACTTCGTGAATTCGAATTTGGAGTGGACCGGTGTATATACACCCGAACGAACGGCTGCGCAGCGGCGGCGCTGCTCCCCGCCGCAGCAGCAGAACTTATTTTGATTTATTTATTTAAATGAATAAAATAATAAATAAATAATAAAAAGGGAAATAAAAATAAAAGGAAACAGCGGAACGCAGCAGAAGACAACACATGCAAGCAGCAGCGCTCTGGGGCTGCTGCATGCAGCGGCGGCTGAGGGGCTGCTGATCTGCTGCTGCTGCTGCTGCTTCTCCCGATTTTGAGTAATAAATGGAAAACAAATTAATTAATTTAATTAAATTTAAGAAATAAAAGAAAAAAATAAAACAAACTGCAGCAGATGCCCTGCTCCCCCCTGCTCGCGCCTGCGACGCAGTGAGTGGGGGCGAGAGAGTGCTTTCGGCGCAGACCCTAAACCCTAAACCCTAAACCCTAAACCCTCCCCCTGTTTCCCAAACCCTAAACCGTAAACCCTCAGCTCCAAACCCTAAGCCCTAAACCCTAGAGCGCCCCCCAGACAGCAGGGCCACCGGCGGAGCAGCGGCAGCTGCTGCTGCGTCTCATTGCTGCTTCTCATTCCCCCTTGCTGCTGCTGCTGCTGCTGCTGCTGCTGCTGCTGCTGCTCACAGCAGCAGCGGGCCTTCTGGCGCTTTAGCTGCTGCAGCAAGCAGTCTCCTGTGGGGCCCCTCTTGCCGCCATTTGCTGCTCCTTTTGTGTCTTTCTTTTCTTTTTTTTATTTTCTTTTTATTTCTTTTTGTTTCTTTTTATTCTTTTTTTTTCTTTTTTCTTTTTAACTCCTAATGGCTCGAGCCCGCCTTGTCTTGCCCCTCAAGTTCTTGCCAAAGACAAGACCAGCCCCGACCCCAGGGGGTACAGTTGTCCGCCCGGGGGCCCCCCGGGGGGCCCCCCGGGGGGGCCCCCCGGGGGCCCCCCCGGGGGCCTCTCAGGCCGCGGGGGGCCCCTGTGGGGCCCCTAGTGGGTACCGAAGACGTTCTTGCTGCTCTTCAAACCCAGGAGGAGATTGTGGGGCCCCGGGGGCCCCTGCTGCGCAGGCGCAGCCGGCGCTGCAGCAGCAGCAGCAGCTGCAGCAGCAGCAGCAGCAGCAGCAGCGTCGCTCGCTGAGTTCTTTTGATTTGCTGAACAAACCCTGTGGGGCCCCCCACGCAGCAGCAGCTGCTGCCCGTACCCCTGAGGGCCCTTGCCTCAGGCGGCCGGAGTCCACAGCAGCAGCAGCAGCAGCAGCAGCTCCTGCTGCTGCTGCTGCTGCTGCTGCTGCTGCTAGGTGGCCAGGTAGCAGCACGCGCCGGCAGGGGGCCCCCAGCTGCCGCCTGGGCTCCTCAACGTCCCTATTCGCAGCCAGGGGCCCCCTGGGGGCCTCCCCGCTGGGGGCCCCCCTGGGGGCCCCCCTGGGGGCCCCCCTGGGGGCCCCCCTGGGGGCCCCCCCTCTGGGGGCCCCCCTGGGGGCCCGGAGGCAGCTGAGCGGGGCGGCGCCGGGGGGCCCCCGGCGGTGCCCCTACGAGGTGTTGGGCTGCAGCAGGGGGGCCCCCCTTCCCGAAGTCAAAAAGGCTTTTCGGCAGCAAGCAAAGCTTTACCATCCAGACCTAAACCCCAACCCCAAGGCCAAGCAAACCATGGCAGAGATCACAGCGTACGTGCCCACGAAAAGGGGCCCCGGGGGGCCCCCGGGGGCCCCTCGGAGGGGACTGGGGGACCCCGCTAGTAGCCTAGTGGCGCTGAGAGGGTACTGGGGGGCCCCCAGGGGGCCCCCTCGTGTTGCTGCTGCTGAGGGGCCCACGAGTGTGTTGGAGGGGCCCCAGGGGAGTGCTAGTGGGGGCCCCAAGGGGCCCCTGAGAGGGTACTGGGGGCCCCCTTTCGGGTTTATGTAGCTCTTCAGAGGGCCCCCAGGGGGCCCCCAGGGGGCCCCCAGGGCTACCCGCATTTAGGCCTGTGCCCTCTAGCGAGGGGCCCCCCGCTGCTGCTGCTAGAGATTTATAATAACCAATTTAGAGGGGCCCCCAGGGGGCCCTCGGGGGGCCCCCTGGGGGCCCCCCGGGGGCCCCCAGGGGCCCCTGAAGGGGCTTCTAAAGGGGCCCCTAAAGGGCACAAAGCAGCTAATTATAAGACCCCTCTGCAGCAGGTTGAACCCAAGAAGTAGGAGGGGGCCCCCTAGTGGGGGCCCCCTAGTGGGGGCCCCCTAGTGGGGGCCCCCCTGGGGGCCTCCAATGGGGGGCCCCCCTGGGGGCCCCTTATTGGGGGCCCCCCGGGGGGCCCCTACTAGGGGGCCCCCCTTGGGGTCCCACAAGAGGCTGCATGCGGTAGCTGGGGTGTATAGACAGGTGCTGGCTGGGGTGTACATACAGCTGAGGGAGAGGGGCGCAGCAGGCGTGTTTCGTTGTTGCAGTTGTCTAGGGTTTAGGGTTTAGGGTTTAGGGTTTAGGGTTTAGGGTTTGGGGTTTGTGCAGGGCTTATGAGTTTCTGAGCGACCCGAAGAAAAAGGACTTTTATGACAAGACTGGAGTGCGGCCGGAAGACGCAGCAGCAGCAGCAGCAGCAGGAGGAGCAGCAGGAGCAGCAGGAGGTGAGGGGCCCTTTTTGAATAACTTTTTTTAATTTCTTTTATTTCTTTTTTCTTTTTTTGTTTTTATTTCTTTTTGTTCTTTTGTTCTTTTCTTTTTGTCTCTTTTCCAATCTTATTATCTCTTTTTCTGCGTTTATAATTGCCAGCGAGTCCTGCTGCTGCTGCTGCTGCTGCTGCTGCTGCTGCTGCTGCTGCTGCTGCTGCTGCTGCTGCTGCTTTCAGGCGGTTTTGAGGGTTTTGACCCTTCAATGCTGTTTACGGACTTCGCCGATCTTTTTGCTTCGATGGCCCGCGGCAGCAGCAGCAGCAGCAGCAGCAGCAGCAGCGGGGGTTTTGGGCCCCACAGTTTTGCTGCTGCTTTTGGGGGCCCCACAGGGGCCTCCAGAGGCGAAGATATTCAAACGGAATTATCTTTAGACCTCATGGAAGCAATTAAGGGTTGCGAAAAGGTAATTAGGGTTTGCGGCGAGGGTTTAGGGTTTGCGGCGAGGGTTTAGGGTTTGCGGCGAGGGTTTAGGGTTTGCGGCGAGGGTTTAGGGTTTGTGGCGAGGGTTTAGGGTTTACGGCGAGGGTTTAGGGTTTACGGCGAGGGTTTAGGGTTTGCGGCGAGGGTTTAGGGTTTGCGGCGAGGGTTTGGGGCTGAGGGAGTCACTTCGCAGCAAAAGCTGGTTGATTGGAGCTTTGCTGCTGGGCTTCTTGGCGCTGCTGCTGCTGCTGCAGCTGCTGCTGCAGCTGCTGCTGCAGCAGCTGCTGCAGTTGCTGCTGCTGCTGCTGCTGCTGCTGCTGCTGCTGCTGGTGCTCGCCTGCTTTTCGCGCTGCGTGTTGTGGACGCCCGTCGGAACTGCTGCGTGTGCTGCTGCTGCTGCCTGCGCTGCTGCTGCTGCTGCTGCTGCTGCTGCTGCTGCTGCAGACGCTGCGCTTCAGCGCGAACTCGGGCTGCAGCAGCTGCAGCAGCAGCGGCAGCGCGGGGGGCCCCCAGGGGGCCCCCTGCTGGGGCTGCGGGGGCTCGGGGGTACAGCGGGTTGAGAGGGGCCCCCTAGTCTTGGGGGTTCCTTGCAGGCAGTGTGGGGGGAGTGGCCAAGTCATAGCAAACCCTTGCAAGTCCGAAACCCTAAACCCTAAACCCTAAACCCTAAACCCTAGACCCTCGGGGGGGGGGGGGGGGGGG